GTGTTGCGGTGCGGTGTTGCGGTGTTGCGGTGCGGTGCGATGCGGGGCATTGGGTTGTGGGGCGTTGGGCTGGGCTGGGCTAGGCTGGGCTGGGCTGGGCTGGGCTGGGAAAGAAAAACCTTCCATGGAGGTGGTTTCACTTAACGAGGTGGTTCCTTGCATTGAAGGTCCATCTTTTGGTGGGGAGCAGCACCTGCTGGAACCGGGTCCAGCGTCCCATTTAGTTAGGGAGGCTGGCTTGCTGATGTGTAAAAGATCAGAAAAAAGCAAGTTTCCCAAATCCCTAGATCCCCCTCCAAAAACCCAGAAGCATTTCCCTGATTTGAGCACCTGAATGCTTGGGTTGTGAGCAGAAAGTCTGGACGAGCAGATCGAGATCTGAACCACCAAGAGCCTGCCAGAGGCGCCCATTCCAGAGATGATTGTTATTTTGAGAAACTCCTATGCTGACTAGCACCTGGTTTTAGATGATCGCAGACTTGGGATTCTCTAGCGATCGCAAGTGGTTATCAGCATCCTGTACCCCGTTCCATTATCTTGTCGATGCCTTGCAGCGAGAAACCAATTCATCAATTGGGCGTTCAGGTTTCACAAGTGCCACATTGCTGTCCTGAATCGCAGATCACAAGTGTCTCAGTAATATCTGTATGGTTGCAGACTGTGGATACCCTTAATGGTTGCGAACAATGTGTGCACTTTGCACTCAGTAAACAAAAAAAAAAGAAGAAGATTGTAGACTCGGGATGCCCTTAATGGTTGCGAATAATATGTGCACTCATCCATTGGCTTGCACCACTCCTTTCCCCCCATCTTGCCTTTTTGTCTTGTCAATGCACATTGAATGCAGAGAATTGAAGTCGCGTGTGACGTGGGACAGACTACGCGCATTGGTAAGGCGTAAAGAGTCAGCGGAGGTGATTGTGGAGGCTGCAAAAGCACTTGTTAACCAGGAGTAAGTACAGGTACAAGATTTACATTTTTGAAGATTTAACTTGTTTGAAGTTAGAAATCAATTTATTAGGGACTGCCTTAGAAAAGGTTTTACGTTTTCGGCCAAGGAGAAGGCTGAAAGCATGTCAGTCAATCTCCCTTTGTCTGTGGCAGATGTTGAATCATGAGCAGTGAGCGGGTTGTTTTTTCAGGTGTTTGCTTTTCTTGGTTAGCATCCGCTTCCTCTACCTGCTACTCAGCAGCTACTGTTTCTTCTCTGAGAAGCCTCCATACCTCCACCCCTCCTTATTGTCCGCTGTCTCCATGGTGACCCTGATGCTTCCCGTGGTCCATCCACACCACCTCTCTTTCATTGTCTGGAGGGTTGCCTCTGTGAGTCAGTGTCTGCCTCTCCCATTCCATGTATGAGCCACAGGAGCTTTTCAGGCTCTGCAAGGATATGCTGGAAAGCTGTACACAGCTTGGAGGGTATCTGTGAGTGGGGAGTGCTGTACTACAGTGACAGTTTGCACTTTGCAGTGTGAGCTTCTTTTGCACAACAAATACAATCAGTTTTGGAGCCTTAAGGTGAAAAAAGACTGAAAATTTTCCCCCATGGCATTTTTTTTGGTTGTATTGCACAGTGTCTACATCTACACCTACTATGAGAACTGCTAAACGTCGTATCTCACGGCCTGAATCGCAGGCCAGTAACGCACCATGGACGGCCCAGATCGCAGGCCGATCAGAAAGTTTTCTGATCGGCCTGCGATCTGGGCCGTCCGTGGCGCGTTACCGGCCTGCGATTCGGGCCGTGCGATGTCGCTACCGGAGGCGCCGAATTGCAGGCCCGCCCACCCCTCGAATCTTGGGCCACCCCTCCGCCCGCCCGTTCGCCCGCCCGTCTGCCTGCCCGTCATCCAGCCCGTCGGCCCGTAATCGTGGCCCCCCCCCCACACACACACTCCTCCAAGGTCGGCATTTGGTACCGGAAGCGCCGAATCGCCTGCACCCGTTTTTTCGTTGCTGGCCCACCCCTCCAATCACCCCCACGCAATGTTGTTGCCGCCCACGGCCACTTCTCCAGTCGCCCGGCACTTCGTCTGCCTTTCTCAACGTGCGCCTGTGTGCTCCGTGGTCGGTGCGCGTGTGCTCGCCGGTCGGTGCTCTACGGGTGCCTCTCTCTCTCTCTCTCTCTCTCTCTCTCTCTCTCTCTCTC